TCCTGTCCCAGAGCATCCAGGGGTGACACCAGCACAGCCAGCTCCTGTCCCAGAGCATCCAGGGGTGACACCAGCACAGCCAGCTCCTGTCCCAGAGCATCCAGGGGTGACACCAGCACAGCCAGCTCCTGTCCCAGAGCATCCAGGGGTGACACCAGCACAGCCAGCTCCTGTCCCAGAGCATCCAGGGGTGACACCAGCACAGCCAGCTCCTGTCCCAGAGCATCCAGGGGTGACACCAGCACAGCCAGCTCCTGTCCCAGAGCATCCAGGGGTGACACCAGCACAGCCAGCTCCTGTCCCAGAGCATCCAGGGGTGACACCAGCACAGCCAGCTCCTGTCCCAGAGCATCCAGGGGTGACACCAGCACAGCCAGCTCCTGTCCCAGAGCATCCAGGGGTGACACCAGCACAGCCAGCTCCTGTCCCAGAGCATCCAGGGGTGACACCAGCACAGCCAGCTCCTGTCCCAGAGCATCCAGGGGTGACACCAGCACAGCCAGCTCCTGTCCCAGAGCATCCAGGGGTGACACCAGCACAGCCAGCTCCCCGTCCTGCCCCTCCCCTGCCCTCTGCCAAGCCCTGAGCAGCGTCCCCAGCGTCCCCAGGGATCCCCGGGCTGAACACACAGGGTGAAATCCTTGCCAAAAAACCACCAGAAAAAGGCAAACCGGGAAGGGGCACATCAGCCCTCCTCCTCCTCCTCCTCTTCCTCCAGCCTTCCCCCAGTCTATCCCTTTCCCAAGGCTCCCAGAGACGGAACACAACACAGCCGCTCCCGCTCCCGACCCTTCTTCCCTTATCCCTCCTCTTCCTCCATCCAGGATGCACCGGGCACTTCCCCCCGGGTTCCTCTTCCCTCCCAAGCTCCCGCCAGCGACTTCAAGGAAGGAAAACTAATGAAAAGCAGCTGCTGGGAATTCCAGAAGGATGATGAATGCGCCTCAGTCCCGGAACAATCCCAGGGCTGAGCAGAGGCGCCCCGAGCACTTACTTCATCGCTTTAATTTGGGAATCGTGTTAGAAAAGGAGGGAGGAGGGAGGTTTGGGGGTGGGGGGGGAGTGGAAACCTCCTGTAGGTCTGCAAACTCCGCCCGCAGGGTAATTAGCCGAAGAGCATAATTAAGGAGCGGGATAAAGGGGCCATTGTGTGCGGCAGCTCTGCAGAGCGGGCGGGAGAGTCTGGGAGTAGGGAAACTGAGGCACGGGGAGGGCTCAGGGCCGGGAAGGACTGGATCAGCCCAGCAGCTGCACAGAGCAACACGGACAAGCCAAAAAAGTGTGAAAAAACAGGGCTTTTCCTTAATATTTACCAGGCGGGGAAGGAAGGCGGCGCTGACGGGGGGGCAAATCCCAAATAAACCAGAAAATCCCAAATTAGTGCAGCAGGAAGGAGGAACTGCCGTGGTCCGAGGATGCTGAGCATCCAGCGAGCCCCCACGCCAGAAAAATCCCCCCATTCCAACACCTCCATCCGCATCCCAGTGCCAAAAACCCTCCAGGCTCTGCCAGAACCGCCAGCAAGACCCGCCCGGTTTTTGGAGCAGCCTTTTCCTGCCAAAAATCCGTATTTTAATCATTTTCCTTGGCAGCGGCGCAGTTAAGGATCTATTTTCTTTAGGAGACAGATACGGCTCTGTATCCTCGGGAATTCATCGCAGGAGTGGCGCAAAAAAAAGCCGGAATAAGCCCAGGTTATGGATTTTTCCCTCATTTATTTTGGGATCGCTGCCTGCCGAGGCGCATTAATTACACCGAGGTGCATTAATTACACCGGGCATGGCGTCGGGAGAGCTGTTTGGATGGAATTCCACGCCTGAGGAAGGTTTGGATTTATTTAAATCCTCGCCTCCAGACTCGAATTCCTGGGGTTAAACTGGGTTTTTTTTGGGAATAATGCCAATCCTGTGCGTGGTCCCGGCTTCGCTGCTCCGGCAGCGCCGTGCCTGGTTCCCATCCACTTCTCAAGCAGGAGGAAGATGCTGGGATGAGGTTTTACCCCTGTATGGATCCCTCTCATCCTGGGTTTGGGGTAAAACCCGTCAACTCCACACCATCCTGATGGAATGGATCCGGCATCACGGCAACAGGGATTTGCACCCATCCAGCTTGTGCACATCCAGAGAATTTCCTCTCCATCCAACCTTTGTGTTGTTGGGAACGATCCCAAGGAGCCAAACACAGCCTCACAGGTCCCCAATTCCTCATTCCCCACGAGGAAAACCAGGCAGAAACGCTGCTCCAAACAACGCCATAGCTGGATTCCAACAAATTCCCTCACCATCAGAGTAGAGCCCCAAAAATTCTCCCTGGACAGAAACTGCCAGGAAAGTGATACTGGCGACCACGGAGGCTTCCCAGATTCCAGGATCCCATTTGGAAGTAAGCCAGGAGCCAAGTGAATTCACACAGATTGAAGAGCAGCAGCATCCATCCATTGGTGCTTGGTGAGCTGGCACAGGGATGGGGCTTCTCCTGGTTTGGAGTGTGGGAAGGCACTGTGCAACCAGATTCCCAAATATTTCCCAGATTTCCATAGATATCCCAGATCTCTGAAGATTTTGGAGTGGAGAAATGCAGAATGCCCAGTATTCCAAACAAGTCCTCCAGCTCTGGCTGTCAGAGCAGTCCTGGCACCTGCAGACTCATCCATGCCCAGGATCCACCACCTTCCTGGCCACCTCCTGGCCCTGGAGATTATTTGGAGTTTGGGTTTCTTCTCCCAAAAACCTTTCTTCTCCCTGCGGTTCAATCCACAGCACCTGGCTGTGAAGCACAGGCTGGATGCCACGGCCACCAGGACGGCTGGATCCTGCAGATCAGCTTGTTCCCTCCAAAGCTGGGGCAAAAAAAGAAGGAAACAAGGAAAAGATGGTTCCCAAGGCATCCTGCCACCCCGGAGTTCCGCGTGTCCAGGCTCATCCAGGGCCTCCCTCGGGATGGGATGAGAGTGGGAGGCGGGTTTGGAGCTCGGTGCCCTCGGGCCATGCAGGGTGTGGGGATCCTGCAGCGCTGGATCCAGAGGGATTGGAGCTGCTTCCAGCAGAGGGCTGGGAAGGCTGAGCCTGGATGTGCCCGGGAGGGGATCGGGGTGCTGCGTCCAGCTGGATCGAGGATTCTGTTCCAGAGGGCTGCGGTGTGGATCGAGGAGGCTGAGCCTGCATGGATCCAGGTCAGGCCCAGGATGCTGTGCCCAGATGGATCCATGGGATCAGAGGTGCCTGGATGGATCAGGAACAGGACCAACAATGCTGAGCCCAGCTGGATCCAACAGGAGATCAAGGATGTTGTGCCAGCAGGGGCTGGTGTGGATCGAGGAGGCTGAGCCTGCATGGATCCAGGTCAGGCCCAGGATGCTGTGCCCAGATGGATCAGTACAGGATCAGGGGTGCCTGGATGGATCAGGAACAGGACCAGTGATGTGGAGCCCAGCTGGATCCAACAGGAGATCAAGGATGTTGTGCCAGCAGGGTCTGGTGTGGATTGAGGATGCTGCACAGGACCAAAGGTGCTGTGCCCAGCTGGATCCAGAGCAGGACCAAGGATGCTCTGTCCTGCATTCTTCTGTTTGATTGAGGATGCTGAGCCTTGCTGGGCCTGCTGCAGGATCAGGGATGCTGTGCCCAGACGGATCCAATGTGGGACTGGGGACACTGTGCCCACCCATGGGCACGATGCCAGCCTGGGATCTGGGGGATCCCTGGGATCTGGGGGAGCTCACGGGAGGGGGCTTGGTGCTGGGCACAGAGCTCGGCTGCTCTCTGTGCTGGAGTGGGATCCAGCAGCAGCACAAAACTCACCCGACCCCCCCCAGCATCCCCAGGTCCCCCCCACGCAGCCCTCACTGCCTGGAGGCCCCATTCCATCGGAATCCAGCCCCAATCCGTGCTTTCCCAGCCCCAGCCGTCCCTCTAAAACATCCGGGAGGCGACACCCCTCCAGCCCCCGTTAATTAATCCCCTTTCTGGGATTCATTAAATCATCGTTAGTGGCCGCTGGTGACGGATCCCAACCCCAATCCCTTCTCATTATCCCGGATTCCTTGCCAGTGTTTGGCACCGCGGTCAGTCCCGCTTCATCCCCAAAACCTCATAATCCCAAAAGTGACAAATTGGGAATACAACCTTTATCCAGCCGCCGGCAAAACACCGGGATAATTAGCTTATCTGCCCTCCCCATCCCGGCATTTGCACTTCACGGCCACTCCAACCAGTTGCTCCCAGGAAAGCAAAAGTAGGAAAACCCTGAAAATACGGAAAACTCTCCACGGGAACCAGCCGGGTTCCGGGATTTCCAACCATCACAAACTCTTGTTATCCCACACGGGTTCCACGCGGGAACGCGGTTCCCTACGGATCCGGAGAAATCACGTGTGGAAAAGCATCACCGGAGCGAGAAATACAACCAGCAGCGAGGGGGGCTCGGTGGGTACCACTGTCAGCATCCCTCGGGACCCCCGGAGGGCTCAGAATTCCCTCCTCCCCCGGGGGGGCTCAGAATTCCTCCCAGGACGGCCCCGTGGGGCAGCGCAGGGAACACCTTGTGTTCCTAAAACACCTTTATAGCCCTCAAATTAATTTTGGGTGCTGCCCAAGAGGTTGAGTGCGATGGTTTGGGGGTCGAGGGGCTCTGCTGAGGGGAGGGGGTCGCTCGCCCTCTCCCACTCCCCCCAGTTCTCGCTCAATTTGCTTAATCACTTCTCCCCCCGCGGCCAATGTTGGCCCATTAACGGCTTTAAAACCCTTTTAAATGAGAAAAGCAGCAGCTCAGGGTCAGGTTTCGGAGCGGGTCCCCCGGAGCGAAGCCCCCCAAACTCCCCACCCCCCCCTCAAATCTCCCCCCACAAAAGGGGCAAAGTGAACCAAAAATTAAAGAAATAAACCAAATTTCTCGGTTTTTTTTTTTTTCTTTAGCATCAGGTGGTCGCTCTCCTGCAGGACGGGCTGTGAGGCTTAGGGGGGTCTGAGGAGAGGCTGGGGAGGGTCCGGGGGGGCACTTACGGTGCGGGCTCCGCCGGGGGAGAGGGCTCCATTGGCGAGGTAGGGGCTGCCCAGCTCCGGGAGCATCAGGAAGGGGTAGCCGGGATAGGGGGGGCCCTTAAAAAAACCCCCATCTTGCTGCCGTCTGACCACTGGGGAGAGAAGGAAGGGGGGCGTCAGGAGGAGGCGGAGTGACANNGGGGGGGGGGGGGCCCGGGGAAGCTCCTCTGGGGATGCCCAAGTCCCCTGGGTGGGGGTCCCTGGTTCTTCCGGGGGTCTCCGCACGGGGGAGGGCGCCCGAGTCGTTTTGGGGGAGTCCTCGGTTCTCGTGGAGGGTGGGTGGGTCCCTATGTGGGCCCCAAATCTCTTTTTGGGGGGTCCTTGATTTTCTAGGGGTACCCACATGGGGGGGGGCACCTGGGCACGTCCCTCTGGGGGTACCCAAGTCTCTTAGGGGGGTCTTTCTTTTGGGGCATCCCCGCTGGGGAGGGGCCCGGACAGGTCCCTTGGGGGTGCCCCAAGTCTCTTGGTGGGGGGTCCATTGTTCTTGTGGGGGTCCCTGGCGCTGCGGAGCGCGGGCCCCGCGGGAGGGGGCAGCCCCGGGGGTGGCGGGTCCCGGTGCCGGTCCCTCCCCCGGGGGCGTCCCGAGCCCGGCTGCTCCGTGCGGCCCCGGGGGGCACCGATCCATCCCCGGGGAGCGGCCGGGGCCGGTTACCGGGGCGGGAGAGGCAACACGAGGGGAGGGGGGGACGCGAGGGGAGCAGGACACGGGGTGGGGGACACACACGGGGGGAGGACACGGCCGCGGGGGACACCGCGGGGAGCGGGACGGGGAGGGGGGCACACAAGGGGTCCCGCCCGCGGCCGGGGGCGGAAACAAAGAAGTTGGGAAGTGTCGGCGGGTCCCGGGGGATGCGGCGGGGAGCGGGGGGGCGCCGGGAGGGGGGGTCCGGTACCTTCTGCCAGAGAGTCCCGCGGCTTCTGGAAACTTTCCCGGGGCGGCGGGGGCCGCTCCGCCTGCGGGGAGAGGCGGTGAGCGGAGCGGGGCCGGGCGGGGGGCGCCTCCCCCCGGCTCCCCGCCGCCCCCCGCCTCACCTCGGGGCCGGGGCCGACGGCGGCGCCGGGGCCCCCCCGGTTCTCGGTCTCGCTGACCAGCGAGGACTTGAGCTCGTCCAGGTCCCCGTGGGCCGAGCCGCGCCCCGCGCCCTTGTCCTGCTCCTCGCCCTCGTCCTGGAAGGCGATGAGCTCGTCGGGGGCCCCCAGGTCGTCCCCCCCCGTCGGTTCCAGCTGCGGCATCGTGGGGTCCCGCCCCGGCCCCGCCGGAGGGTGCCCCAGCTGGGGTGGCCCGCTCCCATGCGGGGTGTCACCTCCCATCCTGGCCGGGGTCCCCCCGTCCCGTGCGGGGTGACACTTGGGACACCCCGGAGTGCTCTCAGCTCAGTCACGGTGCCCCCCGTTCCGCCCGTGTTCCTGCCACCCTGCCCTGCTGTCCCCCTCGTCCCCTGGGTGTCCCAGGGTGTCCCCTCCCCTCTGGGTGCTCCTATCCGTGCCCACCTCCCGTGGGGACCCCAGCCCACCGGGGTACCCCCAGCCCACCGGGGTGCCCCCAGCCCACCGTGCCCCCAGCCCCCTTGTCCCCCCACCCCAGGGTCTGCTCCGAGGGAGATGCCGACCCCTCCCCACACCGTGAGCAGGGTCCTGCCATGATGGGAGCAGCCAGCCCGCAGGACAGACTCATCCAAAAAAAAAAACCTTTTTTTTAATTTTATTTTAATTTTTTTGATTTTTTTTTTTTTTCTTACAGGGTGGGCTCGTTCCCCCGTGGCGGGCGCTTGCGGCTCCGGTGGCGTGTCACCAAACGGGGCTCGATCCATCATCCCCAAAGCATTGTCCCCGTCCCGTCACCCCCAGCCTGACCGTGAACCCCGATGTGCAGCCCCCAAAGCCCCGGGGGCCCGCAGGCTCCGCCGCCCCCCGGCCGCCCCTCGCTCCGCGCCACAAAGGTTCTTCAGTTGCTTTGCCTGAAATACTTCATGAAAAGGCTTTTGTACCATCGAAATCGCTGGTGACCCCAGTCCCCCCTGCCCAAGATTCCCAAGGAAAAGCAGGAGGCAGCTGCGGGGGGTCGTGCCGGCTGGCCCTTCCCCGCTCCCAGCCCTCCAGATGTTTTATTGCCCTGTGTTTAATTAACATTTCCAGCCACGTGCTGAATGGGGAGCTCACATCTGCCCCTTCTTCCCAGGCTGCTCCTTGGTTTAGGGGCACATGGAGCAGGGCTGTGGGTGCGTCCAGGGGTCTGCGTGAGTCCCAGGGTGCTGAAAAATATCAATAATCGTAATAATGCGTTCTTTTCGCCCATATTTCCCGTAAATCACATGGGACGAGGCGTGAGGAGGTGGCTGGTGCCCAGCAGGGGACACTGGGGGTGAACGTCCCGTGTGCTCCCCAGGTGCCCCAAAACCGCCCGCGACCTCCTAAATGACAAAAAAAAAAAGGCAGCCCTGCAGTTTTGGGGCGTTTCCCAGCATTTCCGTGGGTCCTACAAACATGGGAGAGCCTCCTCGGTGGGTTCCATCTCCAGGAGGTGACACCTGGCGTTCTGGGGGGGATGGAGGGGTGGGGGGTGCGAGGTGGGACCCTCAGCCACCCCGGGACCCTCAGCCACCCCAGGACCCCCCTCCGGTCACCCCAGGAAGTCGGGACACCCCGGGACCCTCAGGTACCCCAGGACCCCCCTCCGGTCACCCCAGGAAGTCGGGACACCCCGGGACCCTCAACCACCCCAGGACCTACGCCCAGGACTTTCAGGACCCCCCAGGACCCTCCCTCACTCCGTTCTCCATCTCCCACTCCCCCCCGACACATTTTTTCCCCCCGGGCACGGGGACCGTCACTACCTCTCCTCCCCTCCCCTGGGGGCAGGCGGGGGGTCTGGGGGGGCTCGTTTACCCCCCCCCCCCGCACCTCCCGGTCCCCGTTATTTTCCTCGTTCCGTGGCTCAGGGGGAGGAGGGGGTGAGACACCGCAGGAGTTTTAGGGTAACCCCCCCCTCACCATTTCCCGTCCTTGCTGCTCTCCCGACTTTAGGGACCCCCGAAAGTGGGGGAAGGCTCGGGGGAGAGGAGGGGGCCCATGGAGGGTCACCCCGAAGCCCCCCAGGGGACCCTTCCCCAGGCGGTGCCAGCCGGGCGATGGCAGCGGGGGACGGCAGGGGTGACAACGAGGCGCTAATGTCGCATTGGCACGTCCTGGGGACAGCGCCCGGCCCTGTCCCCCCGCCTCGGGTCACCTCCCGTGTCCCGGAGTCACCTCCCGTGGCCCCCAGCCCACCTCCTGCCCCCCCAGGACACCCCTTCGGGAGGGTCATCGCCACGGGGGGACGAGAGGCAGAATTTTGATGATTTGGGTTAAAATTGAGGCGCATTTACACCCCAAAAATCCCCAGGAGATGCCCGCAAACATCCCCGATGTGCCCCCCTCGGGCGGGGAAATGGGGGAAATGACCAGAAACGGCGATTTTCTGCCCCCGGGGGCTGCGGTTCGCCTGGAGAACCCCGAGGAGCGGAGCGGGGGTCCCGGAGCAGCCGGGGGTCCGCGGGACCTGCCCCGGGACCTGCCCCGGGAACTGAACCGGGATCTGCCCCGGGAACTGCGCCGGGAACTGAACCGGGATCTGCCCCGGGAACTGAACCGGGATCTGAACCGGGATCTGCCCCGGGAACTGAACCGGGATCTGCCCCGGGATCTGCCCCGGGGTGCGGGACCCCCACGGGGCGGGAGCCCCCGAAAATCCGCCTGGGCCGGGGGACCCCGAACCGCCCGGGAACATCCGGGAGGGGGGACCCCAGCACCGCCCCGGGGGGGTCCCGAGAGCCGCTCCGGGACAGGGACCCCCGGGAGCACCGGGGATGGGGGTGCGGGGGGACCCCGGGGCGGGGGCGGGGCACAACGGAGGGCGGGTCTTCCTGTCGGGGTCGGTTATTTTTGGGGGGTCTCCCTGCCGGGGTCTCTTATTTGGGGGGGTCTCCCTGTCGGGGGAGGGGTGTCTGTTATTTTGGGGAGGGTCTCCTTTCCGGGGTCTCTTATTTGGGGAGGGTCTCCTTTCCGGTCTCTGTTACTCGGGGGGGGTGTCCGGTATTTGAGGGGGGGCTCTCTCTATCGAGGGCGTGGTCTATACATATATGGGCGTGGTCTAGCGACTCATGGGCGTGTCGTCATATGGGCGTGTCTTTGATGGGGCGTGGCTATCCTGGGCGGGGTCCGGCGCTTCCGGGGCGGGGCCGGTATCACCGGAGGGGCGGTGTCAAGTAAGGGGCGGGGCTGGGGGCGTGGCTAGTGGCTTCGTGTGGGCGGTGCCGGTATCTCGGGCTGGGCGGGGCCGGGGGCGGTGCCGGTATTACCGGCGGGGCGGTGCCGTTCCGGTGGGCGGTGCCGTGCCGGTGGGCGGTACCGGGGCGGTACCGGCAGCACCGTCGGGGCGGGCCCGGCGTGCGGAGCGGGCGCGGCCATGGCGCTGAACCTGGCCAAGAACGGGCGGGCGCTGCAGGAGGCCTACGGGAGCGTGGTGGCCGCGGGGAGCCGCACGGACTGGTGCGGGGCCGGGGCGATGGGGAGGGGGCTGCGGTCGGGGGGATCAGGGGTTCCTGGGGGATCAGGGGGACCCTCAGGGGGTCCCTCAGGGGGATCAGGGCATCCCTGGGGGGATCAGGGGTTCCTGGGGGATCAGGGGGACCCTCAGGGGGTCCCTCAGGGGGATCAGGGCACCCTGGGGGGATCAGGGGGTTTCTGGGGGATCAGGGGTTCCTGGGGGATCAGGGGGTCCCTGGGAGATCAGGGGGGATCAGGGGGTTTCTGGGGGATCAGGGGTTCCTGGGCTGGGGCTGGCAGGTCCCCGTGGGGCTCTGTGCCTCACAAGGTGCCCAGGGTGTGTGAGCACCCCAGACGAGCGCTGTGCTGGCTAAAAAATCCCATTTCTGCCCCAATTTCAGGGCTCTGTTCACCTATGAAGGCAACAGCAATGACCTGCGAGTGGCTGGCTCCGGAGGTGAGGATTTTGGGGACCATCCCCCTGCTTCCAGGGGGGCTCCCAGGGCTCCCCTCCCTGTCCCTGCCTGAGATGTGGGGGGGTTTTAACCCCCGAGGGTGTTTTGGGGGTGCTCTGAGCAGTGGGAGCTGTGCTGGGGTGTCTGCTGGGATTTTGGAGGGAGGGATGTGCAGCAGAACCTCTCTGCCAGCTCTGCTTCTCCTTTCCAGTCGTTTTCCCCCCTGTCCAGAGGATCCAGAGTCTGGCTCCTGGCTGCTCCTGGCATCCCTGAGGTGTTTAAATCCCGGATTTTAAATCCACGTGCTGCTCCAGAGCCACTCACTCAGCCAGGGCTCCCTGCTCGGTGCTCTGAAAGCCCCTCACGTCCAATTCCCTTCTTCCTGCCATTCTTTTTTGATTTATTTTCTGTCTGGCTGCTGATTCCCACCCGGGCACCCCTGGCTGGGAAGCTGAAGCCTTCAGGAAGCAGCAGCACATCCAGGCTGCTTTCCCCACGCTTGGAATTGCATCCTCTGCTCCCTCCCCAGCCTCTCCCTGAATTTCCAAGTGCTTTTCCCAGCCTGTGGGAGTCTCTGGGATGCTCCACAGGGTCTGGTCCTGGAGAGTTTTGTTGAGGAAGCCTCTTGCTGGGACCCAAATGAGGGTTTTGGGGGGTTTTGGGGAGCTGCAGAGGGTGGGCCCCGAGCTCCTCCCAGCATTCCCTCCCCAACCAGCTCCAGACTTCCAACCTTCAACTTCCCTGCCGGGTTTGGAGCTGAATTTAGAGCCAAACCATAAATATTTAATAGGGAGGAGGAAACGATCCGGGTGATGCTGCAGAGCAGGGTGAGCTGTGTTGGCCTCTTTGCTCCTGCCGGGGGTGACAAGGACCTTTTCCCCCCTCTCAGGGCTCACACAGCCCAGCACAGGAGGAGCTGTGGCGTTTTTGGGATGGGAGTGTGCGTTTTTGGTGGTTTTCCTCCTTTCCTGCTGGTTTATTGGGCTGGTGGGAGCAGTCTGTTCCCTTTCCTGAGCCCTGGGTGGGATTTTCCCTCTGGGGTTCTCTCCCAGGTGCCCAAAGCAGCCCTGAGGCCACCCCAGGTGGCTGTGACAGGGAGGGAGCCTGGAGGCAGGAGTTTCCTCTTGCTGCACCAGCAGGACCTTGCCCTGTGCTGCTTTTTGTTTCCTTCTCCACTTCCCATCTGCAGAGCAGGAAGAAGGCTCAGGCAGCTCCTGCCCTTCCCTCAGCCCCGTTCCCCCTCTCTGAGCTGTTCCTGAGCCTGGCTTTGTGCAGGAACCCCCGG